TACACCTAAAATGTCAGGAATTTATTTTGATGCATGACAACTATGCTGGTTAAAGGCTCAGACAAAACTAAAGGCGATGATCAGCGACAGAAAAGGTCACCGGTGGAGTATAACAAGGGTAAATGTCGAAATGAGAAGTGACTAATGTGGAATTATTCGGAGAATTTGTCGGTCAGATTAACGTCCGACCACGCCCTTTCTTGGCCTTATCATGTACAAACGCGGTTCGGCATGGGGTGCTATGTGAGGCATTTCGGGCCGGTTTTTTTCCTACTTTTTCTTTACATCTGTGCTATTCGCCATCCTGCCGTTACTATTTGAGCCGCATGATTGACCATTTTCGAACCCGGGCGTGCCTTTAAGCATTGTTTTATTGCGTGCAAATCAAATTTCCCCTATGATGAACAGTTACCTCTCCTTTAAACAGTTTAGCTTTCCAGGAAAATGGTACTGTGATCAATGCAAGGAGGCTAGAAAGAAGAAGATGAAGCAGTGAGATTGCACTACCCGTGTTTTACATTCTGTTATCTATGGGTTGTTTTAACTTTTCATAATTTACCTATTTATTCCTCTTACTGTGTATTCTTCCAAGGCTTTTGAGTCTTAATTCATCATGTTAATCTTACTTGGGAGTTCATGGGAGGTCTCAATTTTAGCTTGCTACTTGTATTTTCAGTTCTAGTTTTACTTTTCATGTTTTAATTCCTGAGAAAGAGAACTCGTTTCTCTTTTGATTTTGCTCTGGCTAATATAGTCAACCTTTTCCGTTTTGTCTTACCATAGGGTTGAAGATGGTCGCACGTTCTTAACTTTTATTTTTTGCCGTAAATATCCCATTTCATAGCTGGAAACTTTGAGCTCTGAATCGTCACGCAAGTTGCTCAGCGCTTCGTCCCGTATGAGTTTTATGTGAGTTTACTGTATACTTGCACTTAAAAATTTTCTTGAAATCCATCCTGCTTGACATCTAGAATGGACAAGTCCTGGAGAATTTTCTGTTTTTCCTGCATGTTCGACTGTTCATAAACTTGGCATCGTGTGAGGTTTTGTCTTCAGTGCGGTATTGTAGCCACAACCAAAGCATTATAGCGATTGGCTAATGTTTCGGAAAGTCGCCTTCGTAAAGATGAGGTAAAGATCAGTATTTGGGAGGGTAGAGTCACAGTGATCTTTTACATTCAAGCCCTGACGACAGCGAGCAGCCGAAGCCTTAGCCAGATTATCCCATCAAAGCATATTCACGTTTTCTTCTTTTTTGTAACCTATTATGATGATGTTTCCTTACATAGAAAACCCAAAATCGTGAGGCTGTTTCTGCTATACTTGATTCCCTATGTTCTAGAACACACCTGGGATAGCAGCATGTAGATGATAGATTTCTTGTGCATATAATGCACACTAATAAAGATAAAATTTTAGTAAGTTTTCTTTCACTTAGAAGAGAACTGAAAAGGTTTCAGTTGATATTTTTTCACACAGTCTTCAGACTCGTACACAATCTTTCAATGCGGTGACGGTCTTCAGGGCGAATGGGTTTGGCACGGAGCCAGCCTATTTCTTTTCTTTTCTCTTTCGAACAACAACAAAACTATCATATCCCTCGTGTCAGTCGTTTTCCACCAGTTGTTGTCGCATATTATCATGCGCAGCACACCAGGAGCCGCGCAGCGCAGTGTGAACCAAAAGGCCTACCCAACTGGTGAAGAGCGGACTGGGGGCGCATCAGATCCAACGTCAGTGACACGCCCCGTCATCCGAAGCAAACAAGACTGAAACTTGCCTGGAGCGATTCTTTCAAGAACTGTCTCACGGTTGGCATTGCGCTGCGCGGCTCCTGAACGCAAACTCGTGTGCTCGTATGCATGATGATATGTTCTTCATGATGTCACTCTTAGAGAATTGAAATGGTCAATGGAACACGACAAGAAAACGTTCACCAGATCGATTGATGTAGATGACGATAAGACCCTGAAGATTTTCCAGGTGAGTTAGATGGGCATCGCATTCGCTCATTACCTTCGTTTACAACAAGATTTTTTCAGGAGTTGGAAAGTGATGTTGGTGGTGTTGTATGGGATAGTGCCCTAGTTGCCGCTCATTATTTCATAAAGAACGCTGAGAAGTATCAGAATAAAAAGGTAACTTCGGCGCTGTTTGGCTTGGGGGATCTGATTCTGGTATGACCTTTGAACTCCTATGAAGCCGCGAAGTGGTACAAGTGAGCCACTCTGGTAACAGGAGCGTACAAGTCTTCATAAGTTGGCCTGTACAAGTTTTGCGGAGCATATGGACAAGAGAATCGTAATTTGCCGCTCCACCGCGCGGCAATTTCTTAACTCGTGTCAACCTGTCGATTGGAGCACCGGACTTCATGTAGACCCCGTCATCGTAGACATTCATGACTATTTTCGGTTCTGAATTGCCTGTTGTAGCCATCTACTACCTGGAACCATCGTCATTCGTAGTACTCATCACATACCCTCATCTGATCGCCCACCAAGCCGAAATGCAATTAATCGCAACACCTGGAGTTCCGAGTTTTCATGACCTCCCGGACAGCGCAAGTCTCCTAGTCAGATACATGTGATTCTGCTTTTCTTAGTTTCCTTTCTCCGTAGATTGTTTCACATGGAAAGGACCGAGTTTAACAGCGACGTAAGGCAAAACATTCACATAATTTGGGCATTCACATAATTTTTGCTAGTTCCCATCGATTGCCCATGTCTTCTGGCACAAGGAACAAGCAAAAGAGCTAAATGCCCTCCCAAGCTTAACAGAGCCAAATATTGTTTCATTTTTTCAGGTTCTTGAACTAGGAGCAGGTACTGGTGTATGTGGCTTAGTACTGGCTGTTCTTGGAGCTGATGTCATCATCACTGATCCTACCATCACGTATACCACTTCTGGAAAAGAACTACGAAACCAACAAATCGATTTGTCGTGGATCAGTATCGATCGAACCGTTGGACTGGACGTTTCCTTGCAATGTTCCCGACGTAGACGTATTGATTTTAGTCGATTGTATTTATTATTTAGATAGTGTGGCTCCTCTTATAAAGACTATGAAATCGGTAGCGGCGAAAGAAATTCTGTGCGTTTATGAAAAACGGGACATAGGTGAACCAGTTCATGCTCAAAAAGTCTTTCTAGAACGAGTCGCTCAGGATTATGAAATCATATCTGTGCTAGAAAGTGATTTGCATCCGGATTTTTCATGTTCCGATGAGATACCTGTGATAAAGTTTATCAGGAAGTACCTAATGTTTGGTCGGTGATGTTCCATTTTCTGAATGTCGGTTGTTCCATGAGGTATAAGTACCTTTTATCTGAAGGCTACAGTGTTTTTCCTATTCGAGGACCTTTCACTGTCCAGATCTCACCATCTGTCTTTTTTCAGATGTATCGGGATCCGACGACATCGTCCAATTATGACGAGATCAAGGTCACTCACTATTTTCTTGAATGGAATGTGTGTTTTCTCCAAAAGAACATTTATGGCTGTATCGAAATGACGTTGAAAGCACTGAAAAATGTGGATAAAATTGTAAGTTTTTTGGGAGAATTTCAACGTGAGACTAGTTGCACAAAGACAGGAAGACATGCAGTCTTGTTCGCTACAGACGATGGGGCTTTTTAGGGAACTGAGTTTAGTGCAGCGTTAGCTTAATCTCCATAACATTGGTCGCCTGCCAGCTTCCACACTTAGCAAACTAGCACCGCGCTGAATAGAGCCCCACCTCCTGAATCGCCAAGCGTCTGCAGCGTACAAAACTGCATATGGTTGTGGTACAGTAGCATGGTTGCTTCGCATCCGCGCGCATCTGAACCCGATCGTCTCCGGCAACATTGTCTTAGTGACAGAATACGCGGCTCCTGAATCTTTTTTTGCTTTTCAGGTACTTGATGTAGATAAACTAGCGATTTCTAGTGTGAATCTTAATGGACAAGATATCCAATTCACCGTTGAACCAGGCACTCCTATCGGAGAGAAAATAGTGATCAAGTCGCCTATAAGCGAGGGCCAAGAAGTGTGAGACTTCGAATCTCAATCTTTGTTTCGTAAATGAATTATAGTCAGGTGTTTTATTTAGAAAACTCGCGATAACTTACTCGACAGCTAAAGAGGCCGTAGCTCTTCAATTTATGGACAAGGAGATGACTGCTGATAAGAAGGTATGATTGGTTAGTTGCCTACTTCTCTCTGAGGTGATCTAATGCCCTTTTCAATAGCAGGCGAGCACCAATCAGCGCCGTGAGCTGGGCCCGGCACACCCTCTCTCCTCTGGTCGCGATTGCAACGCTATTCGCGATGCGCGCTAACGAGGCATGCAACTACGGGAGCCGATCTCGACTCTATCTCTCCCTCTCTCTCTCTATCTCTCTCTCTCTCTGTATGTGTTTTCAACGTCAACTAGATAAGAAGTGTTTTGCAACTCTGCCGCAACTCGCTAGTTCGGAAGTAACACTTCACATCCCTCCTTGGGGCCTCCCTCCGACGATGTGTTGAAATAAGCAGTAGAAGACAGCTATCAAACATCGACCGAAAAAAGGACTCGTTCAAAAATGAGGATTTACGCTTCGTATCCCGACGATGGAGGGGGCTGGTCGCGTACTTCACCCATTGTTGCGGCGATTGTGCTATGGGTGGGATATCAATGTTTGGAGACAACTGTAATCTTCTACTGCTCAGCACGAAAAACGATGACAATGATGACAGTCGTAGTGACTTTTCATGAATGGAAATATTCGTCTAAGAACTGTCGTCACGTCACGTTCAACTGTAGTAAGCGGGTGTTGCGCGACAAAGGGTGCTCCTTCGCATACCCAGACGACCAAGGATTCTACTTGTATGTCTTTTTGAAGCTGAGCCTGGGTAGAGGGTCGCCTAGAGTAGTTGCGCTAACGCGTGACGCTCCCCCCTCGCCTTCTTGAGCAGTAGCACCCTATAGGTCAACATTGCTGTTTGCACTCATACTTGATATTGCTTTTTCACACTGAGTACAATGGATGCTCCCTGGAAATCGAATTATCCGTTGTACTGAAGTAATCGGATGTGAGAATAGGTCACGCCCGTCCTCTGCTCGTCTGCGTCCTCACGGGCGTCAACCACCGAATACTACTTCGTTGAGAAGGTGCAGACCAGCAGAAGCGAGGTCTGACCTGGCTTCGCTCCCGACTATCGTCCTACCAACTGCCTTGATACCGTGGGGCAGTCTAGGCTCCGAGAATAGTCTCTGTCATCCATTCTTGCGAAATTCAGGCACCGTACTTGTTCTCACAATGTCAAGCGATTCATGCTCGTTCAATTATGCCGTGTATGGACACACCATCTGTGAAGTCAACATATAGTGCAGAGGTAAGCTTTTCTTCGATGCGAATTGCTTCGTCATTTTATTGCGCCTAGAAAGCTCGCTCATCAGTCGCTAGCCGACCTACACGGAACTGGCTGTAGAGACACTGCACATTCCTAACCTGCTGAGTAGTATCTGTGTGGCTATAGGTTCGGACGAATATATTTGACTACCTTCTCGTACTGGTTACATTTGGGACATAACCGGTTCTTCTATTAAGTCTATAGTCGTATACCACCTGCACAACAAAGTCTTTTCTGCAGATTTTTGACCGTTTTACTTCCGCCTATTCGCCATTCCATTATATAGCGCCGTGCTTCCAATTTAGTTCGACTGTCAAATTATCGTATCTTAATCTTTAATGAGGCTTTAAGATCTCTTTATATACAGTTATTTTAAGGTAACCGTACCCAATGACTTGGTATGCCTAATGAGTGCAATTGGTAAAGGAAAGAAAAAGTCTGGAGATACTACCACTTACACATTCGAACAGCCTGTTGCTATACCATCTTACTTGTTGGCAATCGTTGTTGGACACATTGAACGAAGGGAAATCAGTCCACGGTACGTTTCAGAATAGTTCGCTCGAAATGCATGTGGTCTTCGACGCCGGTTCGTTGACTTCTTTCCGATCAGTGACAAGCAAAGTAGGACGCAAGTGACTGCACGACCCGATCGACTGGTGCGCCCCAGTCATGCGCGTCTGGTGGGCAGCAGTGTGGCAGTCTTCTTTGTTGAATGTAAAGGGCCAGTGTAGGTCGTATATAAGAGTGTTTAGAGTTTTGACTAGTTGAAGTTCTATTGAAGGCATCATTCGCCATCACAGATAGTAGGGTTTGCATGTAGACGGCAAGCTGCTGAGTAACTCGATAGTGAAAAAAGGAGAAAATAACATGCCAGCTATCCTGATGAGACCCATTTCGATCCTAGTTTGTACGGGCCCAAGTAACTTCATCTCCAACTCTACGCCTCCATCCGCACAGCTGCATCTCCGGTAAGAACTCTACGATCGTACAATTGAAGGCGGAGACTGGAGGCGGAGTCACTGGAAAAAGGAGGCGTCACTGAACCTATATTGCGCTATAGCGCCCCTCCCTTACAATTTTTTTTGCCGCGAAACCGGTACAAGGTTGTTCTTAGCTTTGCCCTCCCGACGTCATATTCTCTGCTTCTACCTGATCTCAGACCGTGCCTCTAATGTAAAAGTACAGTCACGATCCCTACAGTTG